AGCTCACGTGCGTGGTTACGTGAGCACAAGTACATTGCTTGTCTGGGTCAGCTCAGGCTCAGCACCAGATCAGCCAGCGAGGAGAGGGAACTGCAAGGAGCTGTTCGGATCACCTCTTTGAAGAGGGTTTATTAGCCTCGGAGCAGTGTCCAGCCCACGGCGGCTTTGTGCTGCACCCACATGAGAAAGGCTGTGGAGGTGATAGAGGAAAGACACTGTCAGAGCTGGCAGCCGGAGTCCCTGTGTCACTGCTTTTTGCAGTCAGGTTTATCCCCACCTTTCAGTACCTATATAATGAAAAATTGCTGGTAGGTTCCTCTGCAAGCCTTTGCCTGGTGGGTATTAGGAGAGTGGGGAGCACTTTTTGGATTGAGTCTCTAGTGTGGACATGTCCTTGGAGGTAATATCCCAGCCACCTGAATTCACCATGTGCTTCCAGCTGGCTGTGCCACTTTTTCTCATGATCTGTCCTGGACTCCCGTGTCTCTGTACACAGCTGCTGTCCAGAAGTGGCTGGCTTTAATGGCATGGGAACTTCTTCCTCCTGCCAGAGGTTTTGGTACCAGTCTTTGCATTCCTTTCCAAAAGGAGAGCCAGAGACTGCAAAGTCCACATGAGACTTCGCTGTTGCAATTGACCCATGGTATAGGAGCTGAGGTGGATATGTAGTTAGTAAATAGCTTTGAGAATTCTTTGGAATAAAAGATACATACACTGTAAGAGATCTAATTATTTTTATTGCTAGGACTATGCTAAGCCACACTGCTAGGGACAAATCACATACTGCCATTCTATTTCTCTTGGGATAGAATAGGAGACTTGCTTAAACCCAAGAAAAACTGCTTCTGTGCCTTGCCTGATTCATGCTGCATAGTCAAATGCCATGGGAAAGCACTTGTAATACAAACACTTTAGTTTATAGGCAGACATTTAATTATCATATTACAGACTTCTCGGGACCAGCTGCCACATGAGATTTCTGTGTGGGACATTGAACATCAAATTAAAGCAGAGCGTCACATGCCCATTTAGCTGAGAACCTGAGCAGAGGGTTTGCGCTTTCCTGTTCCCTGTAAAGAGCTTCCTGGATGATATTTCTGTGCAGATTAGTCATGAGAAGTGGGCATGCTGTAAGCTTGGTGACGTCTTTGTGACTGGATCAGAGAGCAAATATTGGGATCTGTTCAGCACGGGCTCCCTGTGAGTGATTAAATTTCTTCTCCAAAGAATCTAGGTCATGTGCTAGGATCAGAGCACTGGGCATCTATGGAAAGCAAAACCAAAGTGGACTGTTTCTAAGCTTTTCAAACCAGAGTTTTATTGACAGTCCTGAATGCTTTGGAAATATGCATTATAGTCCCAGTACAATGTGGGAAATAATGCTGCATGTTAATATCTCTATGTAAAGGGAGGCTTGTAAACCTAGTTCTAATGCTGATATGGTTTGTAAGATTGAATTGTTTTCTCAGGGAAGTAAGGAGTATATTTGGGGATAAGAGTATGCAATGCTGTGTTCTCTTCTCACGCTGCTCTGCCTTTTCCTGCACCCATCACATCTCCCTGTTGGGTCATATTCCCATCTCCATTACCCTGTGTGCTCTCTGCACTGGGTCCCTGTCTTTCTTTCTGCCATTTCAGTTTAGTCCCTGTGTCCAGGGCAAGATATGCTTCCCATATACCCATTAATTGTGAGTAAACTCCCCAGAGGGGCCTCAGGAACTTAGTGAGTCCAAATGCACAAGACTTCTGAAGCATCTCAGTCCTCTGCTGGTGCTCACCTGTAGACAGTGCCTACAGGAGCTTGGATACCTGGCTTTCTAAAACAGTGGCACTGGAAAACACAGTGGTGGCAACAAAGAAATCGCTTTCCTGTAGGTACAACCAAAAGATATAACAAAAAGCTCTATCCTGCATTTATAGCCATGATTTGCTGGTTTCCTGGTCTGTTTTAGTGTGCGTTGTCAGGAAATTAGCTTACCACATCTTCCTACACCCAGAACAGGAGATGAACTGCCAGGAATGTTTCACTAATGTATTTTTGGAACACAAAATCCCATTTACCCTGTAGGGGAAGATTGTTCTAAATGCCATCTAAAAATTGCTAAGTGACACTGCCTTGCCACTGTGCTGTGCATGTCTGGGAGTCAATTACTCCAAGTTAGGACATGAACTTCTCTCATGGTCCCTTTTTACTCCTTATGTCTGTCCTATTGCTGGGTCTGGTCTTTGCCTGTGAAGCCATAAACAAACTACAATGCTGTTCTGCTTCCATGTGATAAACCCCTGGCTGTGGGGCTCCCAGGGGTAGGTGTGGAGGTTCTGCAGGCTTTTGGGGGCTGTGGCTGGTGAACCAGCTCTCTTGAATGAAAGCTGGAGCTCTCTGGACTGGCACGCTGCTGTTCAGAATTCATGCGAGGCATAAAACAAGCTGTAACCTTTCAGAATGTGCTGTAACCTTTCACCACTGGGTCGGGGCGCCCAGCAGTGCTGGGGAGATGCAGTCAAAGTGACAGAGCCTGGGTGAGAGCCCTTGTGAGAGCTGTTTTGCTGAGAAGCTTCTGTTTCTGGTTAGGCAGTATCTCCTCTCTAAGAAAAGCCACATTTAATGTACCTCTGTCTGTCGTGTTTGGTGCCAGTAAGCAGGAAGAGAAAGATTGCTGCTGACATCGTCGCTGCCTTGCAATAGTAGAGCTGGTCTCTGTTTCTCTTCAGCATATGTAAAGCAGTCTGTTAGCAGGGTCAGTGGTCATCATGGGCAACGGTCTTCAAGTCTACTGAGAGCTGGATGGTATTCAGGCTGCAAATGAGGCTTTACCAAGCAGCTTGGCTGGTGCTGCAACCTCTGAGCTCATGAGAGACATGAGCACATCCAAGTGCAAATACTGAAAGTGAAAAAGGGAGCAGGGGAAGGAGACTCCTAAAGCATGTGGGGTGTGTGTTGTTTGTTTAATGTAGGGGTTTTTAATTCCATCCCCCTTTACCCTGAGGTCATGAAACGTTTTTTTTTTCCAGCAGTGTCATAGTATGAAGAAATACAAAAACACATCCTCCTGTTGCAATAGCATCTGCTGGTGGAAACCATGTGAATGTTTTGAAAGACCAGGAGTTTCTTCACAGATCAGGCTGATTAGTGTGTCTGAAGTGTAATTCGAATCTGCCCTACATTGCCACACTGCATATGATGAAAAATGACCCCTAGTCCACCAGGAGCATCCTTCATTCTTTGACACGCTGGCCAAGTGTCTTGGGATTTAGAAGAAAACACTTCGGAGGTGGGGGAGAGGGAATGAAGATGAATAAACCTAGAACATACTCTGTATAACAACCACAAGGTTGGTGAGAGGCATCCAGCTTCAAAGAAGTGGTCCAGGGACAGTTTCTCTTGGCTACACTTTGTGACTTTAGAGTTGAAGTAACCGTGGCATGTATCATAGCATAGTAGAAACCCAGCATTTGAAGCAGGCATCTCATTTCTACTGTGCTTCCAAGAGAATCCTGAAGTCTCTGTACATATCTTACACATATGGGGTGAAGAGAATGGAGAAGGGATGTGGCTTCAAAGGCTGTACGGGAAGGGTGAGACATGCACGTTGTAAAGGAGCATTGCAATTGCTGTTCCTGGAATGAGCTGAGCATGGGATTGAACGTGTGGGTTTCCCCAGGAAAGTCCCTCCTGTGTCTTTGGTCTGCTTTGTTTTAGAAAAGCAAAGAGCCAGTTCTTACTAGTGTTAGTGTTTCTGGGATGCGAAGCTCAGGTGACTGTGTTTGCAACTGGCCGGTAGGCTTGGAAAGGAGAGGATTCACACCATGCTGCTGTGGATGCATCTGAATGTGTCCTAGCTCTTTCCAGGAGTGAAAACTGGGTCTCCCAGAAGTCAGACTTTTATTTACAGGTAGTTGTCTTGCGGGGCTGCCACCCATAAATCTCCGTGGGGTGGCCTAAACCTCCCAGATGTGCCTTGCAAAAAGTAAACACATTTTTTCCAAACCCCATCTCCAGTTCCCCTTTCACTGCACATGATTTCACACATACAGTGAGCTTGAGTTAACTTACAGTGACTTTAAGTCACTGCTGTAGGCACTGTATGGGTGTACAATCATGAAGTTCCTGGGCTCTCAGGAGCTGTGCGACCATGGGGCTGGTGGCTGGCATGTCTGAGGCCAACCCAGCAGTGGAGGGGGGGAGCAAGGGTGGGATGCAGCTATGCACACAGGGCATCTAAACACGCGAGGCTGACACGTGTGGGTTTCTCATCTCTGAGTCTCACTGTGGTTTTTGGTGGAGCTCTTTTTCCTTTTATATACAAGCTCTCTTTTCACAAAGCCTCCAGTTGCTGCAGTCTCACAAATGAGATCGTTAGGAAAAGCCATGTGAGACCAGGACAAAGTGGCATAGGACCAAAGGCTGGAATTCTTTTCCCAGGAGAGTGGCATAAAATTGCTCAAAATCAGAGGCTCGCTCTTACTTTAACATCTTATTTAACATCAACTGTGGTGTGGGGTGTTTAGAACAACTCTTAAGTAATATTTAAGACATAATGAAGGGCTTCTTGAGGATCATATTTGATAAATCTTATATTTTAAAAAAACATTCTACCAAAGATTATTCAATTGTATCTAAATTCCCAGCAACTTTCTCACCAAGCAGTGCTATTTCTAAATTTCACATCTTTTAAAAGATTTATCTCGCTATTTCCAGCCAGTTGTTAACTGCTTGGTGTCAGAGCCTGTCACATCTGGAAGCCTTGCTGTTCTGTTACACTGCTCTGTCAGGTCCTTGTGATTTCAGCTGACTGCAATTAATAGTTATAATACACAGTTTTAATTACTTGGGGTACATTTCTTGCTTTCAGAGGTGTGTTTGGCACTTGCAGAAAGCACCATTGACTCTCTATAATCTTTCACTGGGGGGATTAATCCTGCTGGGTTCATGCTGTAAGCTCTGTAGGACCAAAAGGGACTGGACTGCTTCAGCCTGTGAAATATTTATGTCTTCTCAGCTGGCCCCTGTGACTTCCAAAGCATTAACACTGCAGAGACTGGAACGATATTTGAACTACTTTAGGATTCAGATGACTGCAAAACCGAAACCTCTGTGGGCTCACAGCTGCTCCACCACATTTGCAGCACAGTCTGTGCAGCAGCCCATCGCCGATGGAAACACAAACAAGGGCTGTCAGAACATTTCTGTTCAAAGGTCAGTGGTAAATGACAGACACTTAAATGCTGTTTTGTCTCTGTTCCACAAGCTGGAAAATAATAGGATTGGATTTTGATCAAGAACTGTTTTATTCCCTCCAGTCATTAGCTTTGTGGTCTCCTATACCCTAAGTATAGATGAGAGTAAAAGGAGGAGAGCTTTGATGGATTATTTGTTTTGAGAGTTTGTTTGGAGTTCAGCCATTTATATACAGTGAGCACCATTGTGTTTGACTGGGATTTGGTCTGTTCCTCCTGATGCTTTCCAGTCTGAGATTGCTGCCCACTGGGCCAGCCCTCTAACACCCCAGCTCCCTGTGTGCCCCAGTGCTGTCAGCTGGGGCAGATCAACACACAGCCAGTGAAACTTGGCTTTTCTTAATGTTTGATGCAAGGGCACAGCAAAGGCCCTTCCACAGGGAGCCAGTTTCTGTTCTGAATGGGAAGCCATGGGTGGTCCTCACACCCCTGAGCCATGGAGAGGAGTCTGGGAGCAGTCACCTTAGCTGTGGGCTGAACCTGCAGGAGTGTGAGCTTGATGTGCAGAACTGCAAGGATTGGGCACCTGGGTTCTGGACTATTTAAAATAGATACAGGTCTTTTCCAACCTAGTTGATTCTGTGGTATCTTCTGAGCCTTTATGTAGCACAGTATTGCACCCTTGCCTGCTCCAACGGTTGAAGTAAGGAACGGAGGTGTTGTGTTTGGAGGATACTGCTCTCAGTCCGCACCCAGCAATGTAACCTTTGCACAATGTACCTTAGTGGAGATTTCACCCTGTATTTTAGCATTGTTTGGTCATTTCACTTCTAATAGTCCTTCCACTTCCATTATATCCCCTGAGTAATGCCTGCTTGGAGGACAGTACAGTAAGTGACTTCTCTCTAATCTGATTTCTAATTCTTAGTGGCCTGGATACACTAGCATTAGTTTGCTATTTCAATCTGATCCATCAGAGTCCTTTGCTACACGGGGCTGCTCTTTTATATCACTTACATGGCAAAACCATAGCTTAATCTCCAAAGCAAGACCAGCCAGGTTGTGTGTGTGTGGAGCAGAGATCATTAACAGCCTCTTGCTGCACCAAAGCCAGGGCAGGAGCTGAGCAAAGAGGTCTGCTGCTGGCCAGGAGCTTCTGCAAGCTGTGAACAGGGTGTGTGATGCAGTGCAATACCTCTTTATGCATTAAATTAATACTTTGTTGTCTGGATGTAGCAGGATTCACCTGACCTTTGTAGCACCAGTTCTGCAAATAATGGAGTGGTTTTAAGTGCATATTGAAATAGAAATACCCCCCCTCAAAAGCATTAGTTCTAACGTGTCTGATGAAAGTTAAGTCAGTCATCACACATAACTGGACAAGGTAAACAGTGTCAAGGCAGGGATTGGCATGGGTTTTGGGATGGAAGATCATTAAACTCTCCTTTATGAAGTGCTATACTTCTCCTTTCTGTCCATACTCTTACTCATGGATTGTAAGCTGGAAAGAGAGAAAACAAAAAGGAGGGGGAGGTACAGTGATCTTTTCCTGAATTAAGGCACCTGAGTGCAGTGGAAAGAAGCTGCATCTTCCATTCCACCAGCTGATGCTTCCTGGGAATGAGGACGGGATGGTAATGCTCTAGGGATATACCAGACTTGTGGCATCTCCAGGCTTGGAGGGATGTTGCAGTCAGACACAGTCATCACCACACACCTTTGCTGTAGAGCAGCTGGCTCAGGAAGAACACAAAGGGGCAAATCATGACACTGACAATGTTGGGGTCAGGGTAGGAATAACTTTGGGATCAGCGATTTAACTTGCTGGATTCTGGAAAAGATGTGCTTGAATGTGATAGAGTTTGGATGTGTTCCCAGTTCCCTTTGGGGTTTCCCTTTCTCATGGCTCCTTGTCAGAGGTATTCATTGCTCAAACCCAATGAGATTTCTTTACTTGGCTGCATGTCCAAACCAAATCTGAAATTCCACCATCCTCCCTCGCTCTGTCCGCCAGCCGCAACCTGCAAGACAGCACATGATCCTCCTCAGCATCTGTCAGGTTGGATAACAGGGCAGGAAGGTGAACAAAACAAACTGTTTCTTGCATAGCTCCACATGTACATAGCTGACAGTAGTGATGTTTTGTGGTTTTGGTCAGCAAACAGGGACATGGTTGAGCTGAGTTGTTAAGGGCTGTGGTCTCAAAGGCTTCTTGTAGCTTCACAAACTCTTGTGCAAAACCCAAGAGCTTTGAAACCTCCTGGATACTATTGACAAATCTTGGAGCAGCGTGTGCCAAGGTAAAGCATCCTGCTGCCTGGGCTACTTGTTTGGATAACCAGGCAGCTGTCTGCCTGTCTGCTAAGCCTGAGGCTGAAGTAAGGGCATAGGTGTGAATGGGAAAAGGTGCAGACAAGGAGAGGCTGGATCTTTCCATGAGCTGCTGCCTGTCTTTGTCATATGCCAGCATCAAGATCTCTGCTGTGACCTCTGGGGATGACTGAGCGTAGCGTGAGGATGAAACTGCCCATGTGAGAAACATCCCTGTGAGCTGCATCCTGTCGCCCTGGCAGGATCTTGACTTCGGTCTGGGTGTGGTGAAAAGCAATGGCCTTCCCAGCGGAGTCAGGAGTAAGCTGGTTTAAGTCAGGATCTTTCTGAGTATCTCCTTCACTGCGGATTCTCTAGCTTGGCAGCCTCCAGTGTCACTGAAATATGACTGGTGCAGGCACAGAGTGAAGTGGTTCCTTCCCTACGCAGAAACTAGTGCAGCTTCTGACCTCTGCCCTGTTCTGCACTGGTGCTAGAGGGCAAGGTAGGGAATTAGAAGTCCAGCGACTTCTGCATCCCCAGGAAAATGATATGTACTAATTCTAGACTGACTCTAGGACTGATATGTTAGACAATTAGTGTAGTGTCTAGTGAGTGTTTGGAGATTTGGGTATTTTTGATTCTTCTAAGAGGATTGTGTTTGGGTGTCTGAAGCTAAAAGCAGAAGTTTCTACCATCTGAAATAACTGTGATGTAGGTAAAAGTGGTAGCAAACTTGTGTGCTTGGTGAATTCAGCACAAGAAGGAGGTTGTAGTAAAGACTGATTGGTAAGCAATATTTGGAGAGATTTCCAGGACAGGCTTACTAGAAGTATGGAATGATTGGTGACTGCTGCCTCGACTCTGCCTGGTGGGATGTGTTTTCACATGCCAGCTGTGGGAACTGAGCTGGGTGGCATTCTGTCCTTTCCAGATCCAGCCCCAGTGACCCCAAGTCTTGTTCTGGACCCAAGAGTCTAAATTCCAGACCAATGTTAAAAGTTTTGCCCCATTTTTTGTGTCTGTCCCTGACACCAAGAGCTTTAGGGTAGTGTGAAAATGTGCATTTGTGCCCACCAGGTCTGGAGCCAAGATCTAAGCGGGATGCATTCACACATGGTATTCTGCCTTTCTGTCCAAAACCTCCTGTATCTGTTGCCCTCAGGCAGAGTATCCAGGATCCCACAAAGCAGCATGGTCTTACGTCTGTTCTCCATTTCCAAATCTTTGTCTCTGTTGTTCTACTTCTGGGTGGATCACAAAAATAATTACCTAAATGAACCAGGCGCCAAAACACCGTAAGTGATCATGTCCTCCAGAGAACAACAGCGATTAGGTCACTCTCTTTGCTTATCTCAGGTTCCCATCCTTAAAATAAGGGCAGCAATATTTTTGCTTTTAAGAGAGCAGGATGGACTTGTTCATGTTTGAAGTATTAATTGTTGTTATTATTATTATTACTCATACAGATGACAGGGAAGCACCTAATGAACGCTGGTTATGTTACAATAGGCTGTGACTGCTGTTGTCATGACTAACACAGCATAAATTTACTAGGCTGCTTGTTTATACTCATACAAACTCCACCGCATACTTGCGGTCCATTACCAGCAGATCATCATGGCCAGGAAGTTCTTATGGTGCTGATCATTTTGTATGACACCTCCATCCTTTCAAAAGACAGCAGCCTTGCTCATCCAATAGAGTATCTCTGCATGTGCCTCCCCAACAGGAGCTGCTGTCCTGGTTTAATCCCAGCTGGTAACTCAGCCCCACGCAGCAGCTTGCTCACTCCCATCCCAGCAGGACTGGGGAGAGAATCAGAAGGGTAAAAGTGAGAAACCTCGTGGGTTGAGATGCAGACACTTTAATAGGTAAAGCAAGAGCTGAGCATGCAAGCAAAGCAAAGCAAGGAATCCATTCACCATTTCCCATGTTCAGGTAGGTGCTCAGCCATCTCCAGGACAGCAGGTCTCCATCATGATGACTTGGAAAGACAAGTGCCATCACTCGGAATGTCCCCCCTTGCTCCTCTTTGCCCCGGCTTGACATGCTGAGCATGATGCCACATGGTGTGGAACATCCCTTGGATCAGTTGGGATCAGCTGTCCAGGCTGGGTTACCCCCCCCAGCCCCTTGTGCACACCCTACCTGCTTGATGTTAGGGTGTGGAGAGGAGCAGAAAAGGCCTTGGCTCTGTGTGAGCAGTGCTCAGCAGTGACTGAAACATCCCTGTGTGATCAACGCTTTCCAGCACAAATCCAAAACACAGCCCCTACTATGAAGAAAAATAACTCTATCCCAGCCAAAACCAGCACAGCTGCCCAGATGTTGCCTTACTGCCTAGCAATGGTAGGGTCTGTCTGGAGCAATTTCTTCCTTTCTGCTTTAAGAGGCACAGAAGCAGCTCTGAGTTCCAGCTGCTGCTCTCCAGTGCTTTCTGCAGAGCCGGTCCTTCTGGCTATTAGAGAATTGATGCTGAAAACCAGATTCCCTCCATACGTGTCTTTGCTCAAACCCAATGTTGCTTACCCTGCCTTTTTCCTTTGTAGAAAGGGTTTCTAATTATATTAGTTAATAATTTGCTCCAAGTGACCAGGAATGGTTGGGTGATAGAGTGGGATGTTACACGTGTGTGTTTGGGTGAGTAACAGTGACATTGTCTTTGCTGTGGGCTGTCACACAGGTGTGACACCATTTGCCCTTTGC